ACGGCCAAGCCTGCGGGACTGCAGGCTCCCATGGAGGACCTGCCTCCACCGCGGAGCCCGTGACGTTTCCCTCCGAGAGGCACCCATGTCTGGGGGGGGCCCTACTGTCCCGACTCCCCCAGAGCCCGGGGCCTTTCCGAGCCTTGGCGCTGTCGGGAGGCCCCTGGCCGGCACATCCGCCCGGCAGGTGGGGTGGACGGTCACCGCGATCAGGACCTGTCGGCCGGACGAGCGCAGGAGGCTGCTGCTCAGGACACGGAGAGCCTCCTGAGCAGAAGGCAGCGCCCGGAGGCAGGCGGAGGTCCCGGGCGGGAGTCCCCACCGACAGGGAACAGTCACGGTGGGGAAAGCGCCCAGGAGGCGGCCTCGCTCTGCTCTCCTCTCCGTGGGAGGAGGAAGGTCCGAAAGGGTCACCTTGCTGAGGGCAGGGCCTGCACCCACCCCAGCGCACACACACTAGAAGCACCTCGCCAACCTGCATCCACAGAAGCCAGCCTTCCCGGGCACTGCCCTCCAGCACCGGCCCCGCAGCACGGGGGAGCGAGAGCACACTGGCAGGGCCTGTTTGAGCACATCCCTGGAGGGGCGTGGGAGGCGGAGGAGTCCGCAGCCTGCACGCTCCCTCTCTCTGAGCTGAGCCGTCTGTGGGGGATGGGCCTCTCCTTTCTGCCACTGTCTTGTCAGAGGAGCTGATGGGAACCACTGAAGACAGAACCTGCCAGGCCTCCTCCAGGAAGCCCTCCTGGATTACCCCCAACACCCTTGCACCCTCTCGCCCGGGGACACTCAGGGAAGCTCCCCGAAGAGCAGGGCTAGGCCTGCCTCAGCTCTGTCCCCTGCCCCGAGCAGGCACTGAGGGGCACTGAGGGGCTCGGTCCCACGGCTGGATCGAACCTTCTCGAGTCCCCACTATGTGTGGCATGTATTCGAGGGGCGGCCTTTCCCCACGTGAGCCCCTCAGGGATGAGAACCCATCTCCCGTTTGTTTCTGTTGCCCTTTCTTCCCAGCCGGCCCTCAGCAGCCAGGCCACGGCTCCGTATGCAGTAGGTGCCCAATAGGTGCCTTCTTGCAACAACACGGCACCGAGGCTCACGTGGGCGGCCCCCCGGGCTCACAGGTGGACTGGCTGTGTGACGTGGAAGTCACAGGACCTCTCTGGGCCTGTTTTCTGCCTGAATCAACAGCGATTGTGAGGGTAGCGCGGCCCATGGAAGCGCTGCGTCAGCCCTCGGAGTCGCTGGCGGACCCCCCGCAGTCGTCAGGAAAGCGGGTGGAAGGACATGCTCTGCGGAGACGGAGACGGGGAGGGGGGCTGAGGGGGCGAGGGCCGCGAGGGGCCCGGTTCCTTACACGGTCCTCAGGATGGAGCTGGCGGACCTGAGCAGGAGCACCTCTGGCATGGTCCCC